GAGCCTGGAATGGAAGTGTGCACTTATACATGATGGTGCTGTGTTACCTTGAGCCAGCCAGTGTAAAAGAAGAACTGCAGCAGGGTAAAAACAGGGACGTACAAGTCCAGTCTGTGGTCCTTGTAACCTTTCTCGGGATTCAGGAATTGTCGGCCAATCACACAGAAGCCAAAAAATGAGTAAACTGCAATAGTTACTACCTACACAGAAAAAAAACCCCCAATGAAATAGAAAATTAGGGGTTGCTAAGTACAGTTGTGTCTCAGGAGGTAGAATCATCTGGTGATTTATATGAAATTGATGAAATCTGACAAGCACATATGTTGTTGAAAAGAAACAGCAGAAAGGTTTTGTCAAGTTAAAAAAACACATTTTATGTAATGATCTAGGCAAAAAACCTGAACTGGTCATGAGTTAAAGAAGCATATCCATGTGCACCACTAATATGATTCAGGACAACAGCAACATTACTTGCTGATGGTTGGTTTAATCTATAAAAACATCTAAAAAGAATCCAAGTTTTATTTGATAATTCCTTAATATGTTCTAGATATAAAAATCTTTGAATGTATTTAGTTATGAATCAAGTCTATAGTGATGTACAGCACTTAAATGAATGGCTCATATTTCATTGGCTGATCGTACCTGAGTGTAGACCAGAGGGATGCTTATCCAGTCGTAGTGGAACAGCAGACTGCACTTTGCTCTGTAGTTATTGAGTTCCTGCAGATGTAGTACAGCAGTGGAGTTTACGCACACTTTAGAGCCATAGATTATTTGTAAGTCATAGAAAATGTGTAGGTCTGCTCTTGTTGCATTCTTTAGTAAACTCCTCACATCCATCAGCAGCCTCAGAGCTATGTCGTCCCTCACTCGGCTCTCCTCTCTCGCTCTGGACGCCAGGTTTGAAAACCACGTCAGAGGCATCCAGTACTTGTTGAAGTCAGAGTGCAGTGACTCAAACTTTTTCAGCTCCTCCAAGGTCATAAATCCTGCCCACGTATTAGACACACTTAGTTAACATGATATATGAAACCATTAAATTACTGACAGCAATTAAAGTGACTGCAATAAACTGAACTGCATAACACTGAAATGTTAGTATTAGGATTTTATTCACTTTAAAATACAATGAAGTAAATGTGTTTGAGTTTTGGTCTGTTAGTTAAACTAAACAAGACTGAGAATCATGATGGCTGTTCTTTTTTTTTTTTTTCCATTTTTCCCCCCGTTGTAACTGACAAAATACTTGTATCCCAAAAGCCCCACTGCCCAACTCAATCTTAATCACACATTTTTACTAAATGGACAAACTCCTTATCCCTGTGAGGTGTACAGTGGTATATTGTGACCTATAAAAACAATTCTCTTGGCTGAACTCTTCCCTGTTTTAGTGCTAAAAATATATATTTCTGTGTGTTTATAAGTATTTGATGTGTAGAAAAAACTTATTTCAGCATTATTTTGTAACTTATAACTAAGATTTGGTGAAGTAAAAAGATGCCTGTGAGAAGTACAAAAGGAAGAAGTCTTGAGTAATGAGCCCTTTATTTTTTCCTCAGTATTGTCTATATTGGAAGCACTCTGTCTTTCTTACTGGTACATTCAGCAATTATTATATGTCTGAATATGGTGCAAAAGGTACATTTGAGATTTTTAAAATTAACTCGACTTTTGATTAAGAACTGTTGCTCTCACCAGCCTCCACAATGTGGTCCAAAGTTGGGAACCGCTTGTGAACTCTTGTGCTAATGGAGCGGAGAATAAGGACTGAAGATAAATTGGCATATCTCATGAGGGTTCGTCTCAGCAGACGGCCCTTCTCATCAGTCCCGTGGACGTTCCCAGACACCACCATCATCAGGTTGTCAGGCAGTGGGAAGCTGGTGTACTGACCCCACCACCTATTAAAGGCCAAGGTGACATAGAAACCTAGAATAAAACAAATAAAAGAGAGAAAGTTCATGCATATGATTTTATTTTTTAGTTCTTTAACTGCTGTTTGATTCATTCTTACCAAGCACAAACAAAACAGGGATGTAGTTGGTGTTGGTGAACTGATCACAGTAAAGGGCGATACGCTCAAACAGATCCTGCTGCCTCCGTGTGAGGAGAAACCTGTGGAGCAAATTAAAATTGTCACTGCGAGACAGACAAGCAAAGCTAGGTAAGAGTAAGAGCGGTATGAAAATGTGAATTTACCTGTAAAACAAACTGAAAAACAAATAAACACTACAAAACACCAGTAACTCCTTGTAGAGCAGCCTGTAGATGCTTCCCTTCCACCTGAACAGGAGCCTGGAAAAGCCAGCAAACCTGGCATTGGCCACCTCAAGACTGTAGGAAACTGTCATGTTTAAGCACAAAATCCCTGAAAAGCATTAAAAGGCATTTAAATGTATGTTTAATAATCACATATACATAAAAGACTTTTTAAGACCTGTCCTACCTCCACCTGTGCTGAATCCTGTTGTCCTGAGAAAAAAGTTTCTTCCTCTGGGCCTGAATTTAAAGCTCTCTGTGGCGCTGTCATAAATTAACACCTTAGTTTTATTACTTGGGAACCTGCAGCCTAAGTGAAACACACCTACGGTTACAGACTGCATGAAAACATCTCTTTTTAAGCTCACATAACTGGTTTGAGTGATCAGCAATCAAGTTATTATTCAGTAAAACCTTCCAGTAAAAGTTATAATCTATAAGGTTCTCAGTCAACACAAAAGTGTTAATAATTATTGTGTTAATTCCTCCTGTTAGTGCTGAGCTGACTTAAATATTTTTAAAAAGTTAAATTATTCTTACAGCTGTCATTTATTCTAAAAAAAAAAAAAAGATAAATAATAATTAATGATACACAAAAGCAAAAAACAAAACAAAAGACAAAAAAAATCTAGTGTTGTATCACATTAAGCAAACAGAAACACTAAATTATTACATGTCAGAGGCAGTTGGGCTTAAAAAATATATTTTATTTATATACAAATTATACATCTACCTGTATAGGGCAGCAAGGTGTCATGGTGTTTAGCACTGTTAGCTCACAACAAGAAAGTCTGAATCCAGCATCTGTCCGAGGCCTTTCTATGTGGAGTTTGCAAGTCCAAAAACGTGAAGTTAGTGGGTTAGGTTAACTGGTGACTCTAAATGGCCCATAGGTGTGACTTTGAGTGTGAATGGTTGTCTGTCTCTCTGTGTTAGCCCTGTGACAGACGGATGACCTGTCCAGGGTGTACCCCGCCTCTCACCCCGTGCCTGCTCCAGTCCCCCCCTGACCCTGAAGTGGAGAAGTGAAAGAGGATAGATGGATGGATAATCTATATAAATTTAGATTTTTAATGAAACTTGTACGCAAACAATTGGACTGCAGCTTCTTCTAAACTATGTATGATTTATCACACTCAGGAATGCATTTTTTATAAGAGCAGACTTTATAATAATCGTGTATAATGTTACATAATGACGTCATTACAGCTCATATTGGATTGTAATCTCTGCAGGGGAATAGCTCTTTATATGACTTCTAAATATTTAGAGTTGAGGATTTATTTTATGATCAAGACTGCCATCTGTTTTATAAATGTATCCATTGTATGTGCGTATTTGAGAGGATTATATCAGCTGTGTCAGTTTTACTGTTTGATGATGTATTTATTACTGTTATTGACTTGCTTCGTCTAGTTATCCGTAAGGCTGAATTACGTTTTAAAAAACTTGCATGTTAAATTTTAACATGCAAAAATTTAACATGCAAATGTTGTTGCACAATTGCACAAATCTGCTGTTGTTTTTTAATCATTTGTTCTCACATAATAAAAAATGTGGCGTTTTAAGCTATATGTAATACTATTCTGACTGCTGTATGTGCCTTTTCTTTTCAAATAAGGTTTACTTACATATGTAAAGTAGAAAGCAATATTTAAGTGAAAATGCACTGCTCACTTTTTCTGTCGACATGCCTTTTTCTGATGTAACACAAATAAGTACTTTGGACCTGCTATCTCAGCATCCTGCCACAGAAAATCAAACAGAGCGCATACAGATTGATTGCTCAGCAGAGGCCGCTAGGTGCGTAGACTGTGTTATTTACTGGTGACTGTGATAGCAGCAGTCTAAACATCAGAGCTGTCAGAGGTGTCCATCCCTCCAGTCTCCGTCCTTTGTAACTGGTTGCTGTGCTTAGCTCACTTGTTTGTTTTTCACATAGTTACAGCTCCTCACTGTAAATCAGACTCTTCTTTTCCAGCCCTGCTTTGGACACTGGTTCTGTTTGCTCACCTCTGAGTGGACATTTATGAGGCCATGTATCCTCCACTGGAGCCTGGATCAGCAATCACTGTGGACTTCCCCATTCCCAGCCTGAATCCGAGTCTCACAGTGTTTACATTTTTATTTGCACTGATTTTTGTTTTACTAGGAGATTTTTAAAAAAATATATATCCACGCTAAAAATTAACTAATCTCAATTCCTGACACTAGGTGGCATTATTGTAATGTGCAGCATGGCTCTGAGCCTCAGCCCTTAGGCCTGTATTTACTTCATAAACAGAGACACCCAGAGGCTCCTTTATTGACAGAAAACAATCAAAGGAACATCTGACATATTTAACACTTTGTTTGCATTTTATGTCAAAACTCTCTGGTTCCAGAAATCTTAAAAGTCTTGCTTTTTACTTTGCTTCCCTCGTGAGTATCATACTGACACACAATGGTTCGTCTGTGATCTTGATCTATAGATGAAACACACGCCCAGATTAGCATCCATGGATACTCAGACAACTGTTTCAGCCTAGTCATTTCCTGCCTTTGGCTACTGATTGTGGCTAAGATCTCTGAGAATGGCACTTCCATGCTGATCATTTTGGTAACCCAATGCTGTAATTACAACTTCCCACGGTGAGTGAAATTAGAGCTCAAAAGAGGGATTTCAGGTAGCTGGGGTCAGCCTGGGTCATTGCCAGGGCAGAAAGGGGAACAGAAAAAGATTAGGAGTCTGTTTTCAGAGATACTGAACACAAATACTTAAAGACAAGCTTTTATTTCTCTGTCAACAATATTAAAGTGTATACACAATCAACATAGTGCATCTTCCTGTATAAATGTGGTTAAAAAAATCAGTGCTTTTATTACATACAGTATTGCCATTTTACATCTGAATGATTACTAATGATTCAGCGATACTGAAGACGTTACGGGGTGTCAAATATGTAGCTAATGGCACAAAATCTGTCTGCAGCATTTGCAAAGTGTTAACATTACAGAGAATCAGGACACAATTTTGTCTCAGGCAGATATCTGACTCATTGTCAATTTTACAGCATTTTTACTGAAAAAACAACAACATTACACTTAGCCTGTCACCACAAAAACAAGCCAACGTAGTTTGTTTTTCTTTCCTTTACAACAGTAGCCTTTCTTAATGACAGTAGACTGACTAATTATAAAAAACAAACAAACAACAAAAAATCCCAAGCCTTGACTTATATTCGACACTTTTAAGACATCTCAGGCTGTTTATCAACTGTTTTATGAATTGATAGTTTATTAGTTTTCTTTTTTCTTTTTTTTTTTTAAATCTTTGTTCAAAGACAATAAAACATATACAATGATTTTGCTGGTCCGGACTTAAGATTAAACTAGCCTACATAGCCTATTAACTAAGATGTCTAACAGGCTTTTTAGGCTAACAAACAGTTTGTCAAACAAAGCTCGTTTATGTTAAAATGAAGGAGGGTTATAAAGTTTGATTACTTTTTTAAATATTTGGATTCCATGTATCC